GCACGCAGAAATACACCGTGACTGGCCGCTTGTAGTGCGAGAGCTTGATTTACATTCTTATTTATTTGACTTCCTCATTGTCCAAACAAAACAGCTCCTGGTCTGGAGGCTTTGATGAAACAGCCTCTCTGCTTTCTCATGGACCCCCCCCCCCCCTCCTTATGATCCCCAGTGACCGCTGCCATGGATACAATACCCATCTTCTAATATTCAGTGTTTTGTAGCCACATCATCTTCTGTTCATCAATTGGGCCTAAAGTTCCCCATAAGCCAAGCCATCTCCTTCCCCCATGTCGGAGATTCTTTGTTTTCACCTTTGCTGTAAATATTTATCATGCTCCTTGACAAGTAAAACTGAGATAATGACAGGACGGAGATGCCAGGATGTTTACTAAAGGCAAGGGATCATTATCTTCCCTGGTGATTGGTAACACACACACATATAATAACATGTCACCATTATTAAACACGGTGACAAGCCAGCAGCTCATCAGTCCTAGAGCAGCGGCACTGAAAAGGTTAAGTGAGCTGTAGGTTAACTTGCCTGTAACTGGAGTAATGCTTTGTTTACGTCACAGCCTCCTCAGAGCTCTGTGTTTCTCAGCCATAGGGGACGCCTTCACTCTCTTGATTGACAATGTGTTTTTGCCTGCAGATCATATTCTAGGAGGCTTCATCTGCTCAGCAGGTAGCCAGCTGATTTCCTGTGACGACATGAAGAACTGATCCTCTGCCCGATTCACTGGTCTAAAAGGGATTAAAGTGATATGATTAACCTCACCCACTGCCAAGTAGTCTGAAATAGTTTGTGGTAAAGGCTGTCTGGCTGTCAGGAAGGTGTCGGGACACAGCCTAAGATCTGTGTTAGCGTGCTCAGAATCCTTGTGTAGTATTGTGCCTGGATTACTCCCATGATGTCAGTATTATGACCACATCGGGATTTTTAGTTTTCTGGCTAACATTTTGAATTTTATTCAGCCAAACAAAGCTAACCTTCCCGTCTGCGAGTTCCTTCCCCACTTCCTGTTTCTGCTACTGGCCGCGTTCGTTTCATTGTGTATATAGTAATTTGTCCGCCCCTTCCCTCCATACACTTTTGTTTCTTCCTTTTTTTTTTTGTTTCATCTTGCCTTTTTGGGCAGAGCCTGTGCATGCAATTCTTTATAGGGTTGTGTGAATGTGGACTGTCCATGTATCATAGGGTAATTACCCCAAGCTGTCAGTGAGACTGAACACTTGCTATTTTTAGACTGAAGCCAGCAGAGAGATTCTGAAACCAGTCGCTTTTGTCGACCGCGTGCCTTGATTGTTGTGTTCGCTCTCTGGCGTAGGGAAACAAAGGTCTCCATGGACTTTGGTCCAGAAATTCTGGCAACATATATGGGTGACTGCTGTCGCGACACTCCATTGTGTTATGTTCTGTTTTATCCTTTAACACTTCATGCATGTTCCTGTAATCTGCATGATTGTGTAAACAAACTTGCAGTAACTGATTTTTTGTTTTTGTTGTTGGGTTTTTTTTTTTTGTTTTTTTTTTATATTAAAGATGAGCACCCTGTCCTGAAGGGCCTTCTCATGTACAATTTTCTGCAATAATTTGCATATCAGTGATTAAAACCAAGGCTAACAGGTGATGTATTATAGCAGTCCTAAAGTTGCCAGTCAAGGCAGAAAATGACCCCTTTAGTCATGTCATACAGAAATATTCTCCAACTTTTAATTCCTTTATGCAATAGGCTTAAAAGGTCACAAATGGTTCTCTGGAATGTATCTGGTGTAACTGGAAAGTTTGCACAAACAAAGGCGAAAGCTTCACAGCCATGTGCTCACTCCTTTGTTTGAAGAGTAGACTAAGCGAATTGTGTTTATGTCAGCTCATGATTCTTCCATCCGAAATGTTAGAAGAGGGCTTTGGCTGTGTATATTGTGCAAACAAATATGTTGTGAGCTATATACATACAGTTCCTATGTATATATACACAGAGAAGTCCCCTGGTCTGTTTGGTATCTGTTGAATGTCAACAGTCCTGAAGGGCAGACTTGCTGAGAAGATAACATACATGAAAGCATGTAGTGTTGTCATGTCTTCATGTTGTTATGTCAACTGATAGACCTCAGGCTACTTCTCACATACATAGAAAACCAATTGTGTAACTGTTCATTGACATTAGTAGGTTTATTCTTTGCTGTTTACTGAGGGGGTTAAGCATACAGTCATAGCGTCTAGACTGTTGTACAGCTGTGGGGTTCTATTGTGTCCCTGCTCAAACAGTACTGTGCTCTCTTCTGGCTACCTACTTGCTGTGTTTTTATTCGAAGGAGCCTTTAGATGGTTGACGTCACATTATTGGGGGGGGGGGGGGGTTACCTTGGTACCAAGCACACGTCTCTCTAATCTGCTCATGCTCATCTTTGTCTCGGCTCCGTTTCTGTATCAGAGTGGTTCTGGTCATATTATCCAGAGGTTTTTGATATGTTTCCTGCATGTGTAACCTTGGAAACCTCCACTGAATGGTGTTATTTATACAGCTGATCTCATTCATGTATACTGCCATAAAGAGAACTGAGTACACTCGTTCTTTTCGCTTTAGGCATGTCGGCATTTTCTGATTTCCAGGAAGTTTCATGTTTAATAGATGTGCACATGGAACTTCTAGGCTTGGGGAGTTCTCCTGCTTTTCACCACGCATTTCCTTTCTTTCTTGTTTGTGCTCTGAATCTCCCTTTATTTTTTTTTTTTTGTGCTGAACCCACTTTTACAGGAGCGTACAGTATTGCTGAAATAGAAGACATTGGCCAAGTTCAGTAAACCTTGCACTACAATGGACAATGAGGAGACCACACTGAGTACGATTTGCATAGATGTGCCAAAGTGGTCTAGGATCTCATTTGTTCTTCACTTTACTGTATCCACTGTGAGGTTCAAGTCAGGTGATCTTACCATAGGGTGGCACAAGGTAGATGAAAACTGGGGACAAACTCGAACAGGAAAGTCTTTTGTTACAAATACATGTGTCCTGTGTAACATAAATGCACAGCATGTTCTTCTGTCACACAACAGTCCTTTACTGTTTATGGCCGGCTTCTGCATTTAGGATGTATTGTTGGTTTGTTTTTTAGCTAAAGGTATAAGTGTGCCATTTCAAGATTGGTCCCCTATGTGGGCTTTTTTTTTTTTTTTCGTTGCTCTTTGAAAAATTTGTTTCAATAAAATTTGCACAATCCCATTTTTTTTCCCTGCTGCTGTAGCCATTCAGTGGAGGCCTTGGCAATCAGCATTGTGGTAGTAGTGGAGTAGATAGATTTCTCCTTTTTTCATAAATATGAACACTTCAATTGCTTGAATATGCAAAGTTGTCTATGGAGGAAGATGAGTAGGGGGTTAGTAGCAGTTGTACAGGAAAATGCAGCCTGGCCTATTCAATTTTTAGCAGAGAATATTTGTCCAGAGGGTGGGTAAGATTGCAGAACTTCCACAAACTTCACATAACCAGCTAGAAAGAACAGTGATCTGCTTTCATCTGGAGATACCTTAAAGTGTTACTTAACTCGCTCACAAAAGTAAAAACAGTCTGCATATGCAGTAAAGTATGCTTGTTATACTCGCTGTGGAACTTAAGGGGTTAATACTCTGCATTCTGTTAAAAGGCGGTTTGAGCCTGTCTTCTCTGATCCTCCCCTTATTCCACAGTCCCCAATCCACCAGTTGATGGTGCAGAGCCCTGTGGGGCACTCTGCACATGCTCAGTTTAGTGTGTATTTTATATTTTCTGGGAGGGTGCATGTGATCGGCACAGGGCCAGTCAGCGCTGTCCAGACTGAGGGTCAAGGGTTATGTATCCTCATAGGAGAATGAAAAACTCCTACAAGATTAACCAGTATTCAACTGGACATTGATAGAAGTTACACATCTGCTATATGCTGCTGACGGAAAAGGTATTTAGCAGTTTACATTTACTAAACTAATTGCATTTCCATGTTGTGTGTACTGTAGGAGACCAGATATAGTAAATGCAGGGTCATAGGTTTAGTAACACTTTAAAGCAGTAAAATTATAATGTGCTAGTATGCATTGCATACTAGCACATTATCTGAAATTCACCTTTGAGCGAAGCCCTGCAACACTGCGCTGTCACTGCTGACAGGGCTTCCACCTCCACCAACGCCCATTTTGCCTTCCGGGTTCACAGGCTCCGGTCGTTTGAATGGACGAGCCATGATGACGTCACTCCCACAGATGCGTGCGGGGAGTCTGTTTATGGCATAGGGCTTTGAAGGAACGGCACGGGTATGCCATTCTTTCAGAGGGCTGTGCCGGTGCCATCACTGGCAGCTTCACAAGTAAATAGCTCCTGAACGGTTCAAGTTTAGGGGATATTTACAGTACCTACAGGTAAGCCTTATTATATGCTTACATGTAGCTAAAAGATAAACAATAGCATTTACTACCACTTTAAGCAGCTATTATTGATTAAAAGTGTGTTCGTCAACCATAACCTTTTTATATAAATGCTTGCTCATGATCCTTTATGCTCCTTTTAAACCACTTGCCTACCAGGCACTTATACCCCCCTTCTTTACCAGGCCATTTTCAGCTTTCAGCGCTGTGCCGCACTTTGATTGACAATTGCGCGGTCATGCAACATTGTACCCATATGAAATTTTGATCATTTTTCTCACAAATAGAGCTTTCTTTTGGTGGTATTTAATCGCCACTGGGCGCTTTACTTTTTTGCGCTATAAATTAAAAAAAGTGCAAAAAATTTGAAAAAAAAAAAAAGTTTATTTTTATAAAATTTTTCAAACAGGTATTTTTTCTCCTTCACTGATAGGCGGCACTTGGGCACTGATAGGCGGCACTGATGGGCACTGATAGCAGCACTAAAGGGCACTGATAGGCAGTACTAATGAGGTGGCACGGATAAGACAGCACTAATTAGGGGTCACGGATAGGCTAGGCACTAATATGCAGCACTGATAGGCGGCACTGATAGGTGACACTGATGATGGGTACTGATAGACGGCACTGACTTAGCATCACTTCTGGGCACTGACTGGCGGCACTGGCTGGCACAACCCCTGGGCACTGGTGGGGCGGCACTGGTGGGCGGCACTGGTGGGCGGCACTGGTGGGCACAGGTGGGTGGCACTGGTGGGTGGCACTGCTGGGCACATGTAGGTGGCACTTCTGGGCACAGGTAGGTGGCACTGCAGAGTGGCACAGGTAGGTGGCACTGCAGAGTGGCACAGGTGGGGGGCACTGCTGGGCACAGGTGGGGGCACTGCTGGGCACAGGTGGGGGCACTGCTGGGCACGGTGTGGGCGGGGCTAGTGGGCGCACTGCTGGGCACCGATCATCAGGGCACTGATCATCAGTGCCCTGATGATCGGTGCCGATCCCCGCTCTGACAACTGCCGGTTCTCGGCAGTACTTTCCTCACGATCTGACAGCGTGAGGAAAGTGCAGCCGAGAACCGGCACTTGCATTTCCCTGTGATCAGCGTGTCATTGGACACCGCTGATCACGTGGTAAAAGGCCGGTGGGATCGGCCTTTCACCATATCACGTGATCAGCTGTGTCCGTAGGACACAGCGATCACGGAGATCGCCGGGGGGCAGCCCCCTGGGGCGCGCAGGAGAGAGAGCGCGTTCTGGGAGGACGTCATATGACGTCCACTCAGAAACTGGCCGGCCGCGGTGAAGCCGTCATTCGGCTATGCGCGGTCGGCAAGAGGTTAAAGTTCTTATGCATTTTTTGTCTACATTCCTATTATCCTGGATATTACCTTCTAATTCTTCTGTTCCATATATATATATATATATATATATATATATATATCTCTTGTAGAATGACAACATTCACACACTGCCATTCAATAAAGCAGCAGCATTGTCACCCTTAGCTGTGGTTCACACTACCACTATATTTCAGCAACCTTCTGGGCGACACATAAAATTGCAGGTCAAGTAAAAACACATACATTTTATTGGATGCTGTCCTAATTGCAGCGATTTTAGTTCTTGCACTACTTTTGGGCAACACAAGTGCACCATGACTTCCATATACTTCGATGTAAAATCACCAGGAAGTCGCTGTATGTCTGCGCAACTCGGCAGCCATTTCTGATACTCTGTATCGCTATGTTGGCTACAACCAAAGTCACCTTGAAGTCGCACCTGGTCAATGGGAAGTAGTACAGGCAAAGTTGCTCGACATTCATGTCGCACCAGTGTGAACCAAGAATTACATGAATAAACTTGCTGATGGTTTTTCTTTTTGCTAAACTACTTAGACCCCACCCACTCTCAGATCTCAATAATATAAAGGCTTATTCTGTAGTTCCAAGATGAGAACTACTAGTGTTAGTAACTTTCCTTGCGATGACACAGGACGTGTTGGGAAAAATAAACGCAAGACGGCTCCGAATTTCTGACATGATCAACCACTTGTGGTTTTTTTTGTTTTGTTTTTTTTTTTTTTTTTTTGACAGTTCTAACAAAATGTGTTTAATATAAACAGACCAAAAAAAAGGAGCAAATAAGAGAAGTTAATAGTTGGGGTTTTACACAGAAAATTGTTTGTTGTGCAATAGTGTTGTGAGACACTTTTAAGTGCTTATGCAGCAGCTTCAGAATACTGCAGAAAATCTGCATGTTACACATTCCATGTTAAGTAGAACAATATTTACATCAGTAAATGCATTGAAAATACAGAGGTGATTAGTAACAGTCCTATGGCCTGTGATTCCCATAACAAAAGTATGCACCAACACTAAGTTGCCCATCATCATTCTGGTATTTAAGCCGGGTTCTTTTACTGCACATTTTCACTCCATGTGCTTCTTTTTAACAGTTCCACTTTTAATGCGATTACGATGAGATTTACAGAATTACTGACCAACAATACCCGATTACCCAAATAATCTCCAAATATTCAACCTTGCAGTGAAAAAACTCTTGAGTTCATTGAATGCAATCATAGTTACATAGTTAGTCTGCCTGAAAAAAGACACAAAAGTCCATCTAGTTCAACCATAAAAAAAAAAAAGTTATAATCCTATACCCACAGTTGATCCAGAGGAAGGCAAAAAACCCAGCAAAGCATGATCCAATTTGCTCCTGCAGGGGAAAAAATTCCTTCCTGATCCACTGAGAGGCAATCGGATATTCCCTGGGTCAACTGTAATTATAAATTTTAGTATCCAGTTATATTCTGTGTATCCAAGAAAGAATCCAGGCCTTTTTTAAAGCAATCTACTGAGCTGGCCAGAACCAACTCTTGAGGGAGTCTATTCCACATTTTCACAGCTCACACTGTGAAGAAACCTTTCCCTGTTTGGAGATTACATTTCTTTTCCTCTGAACATAAAGCGTGCCCCTTGTCCTCTGTGATGACCTCAGGGTGAATAACTACACTGAGTTCACTATATGACCCACTGATGTATTTATACATGGTGATCATACCCCCCCTTAATCTCCTCTTCTCAAGAGACAATAAATTCAGTTCCTCTAATCTTTCCTCATAGCTGAGCTCCTCCATGCCTCTTATCAGTTTGGTTGCCCTTCTCTGTACTTTCTCCAGTTCCCCAATGTTCTTTTTGTGAATTGGTGCCCAAAACTGAACTGCATATTCCAGATGAGGTCTTACTAATGATTTGTACAGGGGTAAAGTGATCGCTCCCTCTCCAATACAAGAGAGGATATTGCTCGTTTAGAAGAGGCAGCTTGGCATTGCATGCCATTATTAAACTTGTGATCTACCAGAACCCCCAGATCCTTCTCCACCATTGATTCCCCCAGTTGTACTCCCCCTAGTATGTATGATGCATGCATATTCTTGGCCCCCAAGTGCAGAACCTTACATTTATCAACATTAAATCTCATTTGCCACATAGTTGCCCAATTAAACAGTGCATTGAGGTTGGCTTGTAAATTGAAGACATCCTGTAAGGTCGTTATTCCACTGCACAGCTTGGTGTCATCTGCAAAGACTGAAGCAGTATTTTTAATCCCAGACCCTATATCATTTATAAATATATTAAAAAGTAAGGATCCCAACACTGAACCTTGGGGTACACCACTGATGACCCCAGACCATTCAGTGTATGAATCATTAACTACTACTCTCTGAATACGATCTTTTAGCCAGTTTTCTAACCATTTACATACTGATTTTCCCAAGCCTGTAGACTTTACCTTACAAATTAGCCGTGTGTGGGGAACTGTGTCAAACGCTTTTGCAAAATCCAAGTATACCATGTCCACTGCCACCCCTCTGTCCAAGGTTTTGCTCACCCCCTCATAAAAAGAAATCCGATTTGGTTGACAACTTCTGTCTTTCATGAATCCATGCTGTCTGTTGCTTAAAATATTTATTTACAGCAAGAACTCATCTATGTGGTCTTTTCTTAAACTCTCCAGTATCTTCCCAACTATAGAAGTCAAACTAACAGGTTTATAATTATTTGGTAAAGATTTTGACCCCTTTTTAAATATAGGCACCGCATTGGCCTTACGCCAATGATTGATCAATGTTTCTGGCCTGATACTATTATTTCGAATTTGTGTGAACTGGCCACAGCCATGCAGATTCTAACCACTCACAACTAAAAATGGTTATGCAGCTTTCATTTGCCAATCTGCAACATTAGCTTTTGTTGGTCATCTGCTAATGGCACATGGTAGTGCTTGCTTTACATGTACAGTACAGTGACTGATGTGTTGTATGTTTACGTGCCTATTCTTAGATACTGAACCCAGATATGGTTTTGCTCTGCTTGCAAGTTGCTGTTTAGCATTCTGTTCGCTGACGAGTATGCAGAGCCAGTGAGTGCACTGTTATTGTTACTCTACAGTGGAACATAATGATTCTTTCATTGCTTCTGTAGATTCATTCTGTACCAATATGCAAATATACATTTTGCATTAGAAAAATTTGATCATACCTTGCAAGGTGTCCTCCTCTAAAGACCCCCCCCCCCCCCTCCTTATTTGCTCTTGTTTCTGTGTGTTTTTTTTTTTTTTTTTTAGACTTTGAAAAGATATGTGGGTTTTTTTTTTTTTTAATGAATGTTAAACCTCTAATGGTTGGAGCACACAATGAGACAATCAGGCCAAAAAAAAATGCATTCGGAGTGATCGTCCGATAATCTGTTCTTAAGTACATTGCTTTTGAGAGCCGATCATGACAGTTCATGTGAAAATATCCAAGGGACAAGCACAAAAATGTTTCTCGTACAATAACCGTACAAACTATTTTCTTATCAGTACAGTATTTGTCCGTAAAATAATTGAGTGACCAAGACAGCGTATGCTCAAACTATAAAGAATACATTATAATACAATACATTACATCACTTCCAAAGTTGTATTCTGTCTTAAGGAAATGTTTGTAACCTTAGCAACCCATTTGTTTTCGATATGAGACTAGCATGCAAAAAAAAAAAAAGGACAATCATTGGTCCAATATTGTCGTGTACTAGGCACAATGTCAGTGACATTCAGTTTCAACCACTGATCCTTTTGAAAGTAACCCTTATACACCTGAAGCAGAACTAATGATTCTGTATAACAGTTTAAGCAAGTGCTAAATTCACTTCTTATGTGATGCACAGACCTCCTAAATTAAACACAAAAATTCCTTACCTTAAGGTACTTGGCCAAATCCATTGTCATTGTGTCTCACAGGCTCCCCCCCCCCAATACTTCAGATCACAATGGTGACTTTGCTGTCAATGAAAAAGAAGTGGGCAGGACTATGTGTGACAAAGCGTTGATTGACCAGCTAAAAAATGAATATATTGCAGCTTGCCAGTCTTTAGATGTGATGGTTGCATTCGATTTAATTTTTCAAGCAAGTATAGAAAACAACTGATCTTGCCAATAATGCAGTGTCTTTGTGTCTTGGGAGGTGAGCAGAAAGCACAAAGAACCTTATTTTCTTGTGTAAAATGCAAAACCAATCAATCTGCCATATATTACATGAACAAAAGCAGGTGTGTTTGACATTCAGCCTGTATGACAACCATGGCTCCCTCCATAGATGCAATAAAGAAATGAGCGTAGACATAAAATGAAAGGAATTTTTTTTTTTTTTTTTTTTTTTTTTTTTTTTTTTGTAGATTCATCAAGGTCAAAATAAAGGGGGAAAGTCCACATCTAAGGACTTGTAAGCTACAATGAGTTATTTTGAGTTTAGATACACTTTAAAATATATCTCTGTAGTTCTAGATTACAATACAATCCGATTGATTTATTTTCTGCAGTATTTCTTACTGAGCTCTTTAGTTGCCAGTTTAAGTTTGAGTATATGTCATTATTTCAGGGTATAAACTTCATTGATTACTACCAATATGTGTGTATTTCATCAGTGTTGCAGTACTGTCTGATTTAAGGCTGTGGCGTTTTTCCCACACACACACTCCATGTTTACACTTTTTTCTTTCTTCCCAGGTTGTCTTTCTCCCCTGGCGTCAGTGTGGGAAGTGCCACACACTCCCCAAACCAACAACGGCTTTTGCTTGCATTTTCCAGTGTTTCTTCTGTCAGCGAGTGCAACAAAGTTGTAATTCTTCAAGTGCCAGCCCTGAGCTGAGTGAGGATCCACCAACAGACATGGTGAAAATGACAAAATCCAAAACTTTTCAGGCTTACCTGCCAAATTGTCATAGAACTTACAGTTGTATTCATTGTAGAGCACACCTAGCCAATCATGATGAATTGATATCCAAGGTAAGTGACCTACCCTTCTTTCTGAGCAGTAATAACATTGGTCGTCTTTCTAAAACTAAGTTTTGCCCCCTCTTTCCCATTTTTCACTCAACTTTTAATGTGTTCTCTCTGTTTGTCTGCAAGTTGAATATTATTATGTTGATTCATAGGCCTTCCACTTTGAACTTCTTACCAGTGCTGGTGACAAGCATCATTTGTAAAGATGACACAAAGGCGCAGAGTCAGTGCTTTGTTCATAAATCATGTCTTACCAGCCACGTGTAAATAACTGCTTTCACAGAGGCTTAAACTCTCCCCCCCCCCCCCCCCCCCCCCCCACCAACCATGTTGCATGATCATTGTTAGGCCCCTTTCACACAGGCGTTCTGGGTTTTTTTTTTTTGTTCATCAGTTCAGTCAGGTTTTTTCCCAAAAAAAAAAGGATCAGTTCACGTTAGGTTTTTAAACATGGTTTTTTTTTTTTTTTTTTTTTTTTTTTCCTCTGTTTACATTAGTTTTTTGCCCTTTCCGTTTTTTCCTCCAGTCAAAAAAAAACTGATGTTAATGGATGCGGACATTAACGGATGTAAACAGATAATTATCTGTTTACATCCACCAGTCCATAGAAATACATGGGTGCCTGTTTTTTCATATGTAAATGGACAGGTGAAAAACAGACATATTGAACACCAGTTTGAAAGGGGCCTTACAGAGAAAATGAATTCCATGATGTTCTATTAAAGGGTCTATGTAATCCATTTTGGCCTGGTTGTTTTCAGTGGTGTGTGTTCACATCAATGCGACTCATCGCAGAGCGATTTTGGAAAAGGTTCCTGTGCAACTGTGCAATTTTGGCTCTGTAGAAAATACAAACCTCATCAAAGTTGCATCCAATTAGCACTACATAATCACATTGAAAGTCCACTAAAAATCTTATCATAGTAGTGTGAACCTATTCTTAATATGCAAAGCTACTTTTGGACTGTTCTTTACACCAGTCAAGAGGTAATGCTTCATTCTTGCTAGAGCTGCTCCATTCTTACTACTTCTCTTTCACTTCTACTCTTGGATTTAGTTCATACTTTCTTTTCTTCCTCAGTAGATAAATGCCTAGGCATTTGGTCATGTGACCAAAACTTATGGGACTCTTCCCTGAGCAAGACTGTTATAGCTGTAAAGTAATCCTTTAAACTGTCCTCCATTTGCCCATATTATCCATATATGCTAGATTGGCATGTGACATTTTCAACCTGTATAACTATGGAGGTGGGTATATCCCACTTCTAAGTTATTCAGTTTTGTGTGTGTAACTTGATCCCCTGCTATCCAAGTCTATTCAAAACATAGGTTATCCACAGCATAGCAGTACATTTCTCTGTATGAAACCAGAAGAGCAGCTTTAGCCGCAGTTAACATCAGTGCAACTTGTCATGTGATTTTGAAGTCGCATGACAAGTTGCATCCTGTTACCGGCAATGTTACCGTTCAAATTGGTGTCATCAAGTTGCAGCGACTTTGAAAATGTTACTGCACTATCTTTGTGCAACTTCATTGCAACTTGCATTGACATCTGTTAATGAAGTTGCACTTAGTGGCAGCAAGCCGCAATGAAGTCACACAGAATAGCTGGTTGTCAAAGTCGCGTGATCTTAAAGCCTCATTGATGTGAACCGAGGCTAAAGCTTTACACCTGCAGTCTATGAGTTGTAAATGCATCTATTTTGAATCAATAATATTTACATGACTTAAAGGTAAAATAAAAATGTTTAGACCTAAAAAAATAGTGGTATAAAAGGATATGCAAAACACTACATTCCTGTTTATGAAAAATGTATTACAGATACTTATAGCACCTTCAGGTGTGTGTGTCCATATATATTTGGACACAGGCACAATTTGATTTTTTTTTTTCAGGTATTTACCAAGACATATTCAAGCTATAGTTATATAATGGATATGGGCTGAAAGTGCACACTCTCAGGTTTAATTTGAGGGTATGTACATCCAAATTGGAGGAGGGGTTTACGAATTACATCTCTTAAGAGCAGCCACTCCCCCTTTTTTTCAAGGGACCAAAAGTAATTGGACAAATGAATATAATCATAAATAAAATGTTCAGTTTTAATATTTTGTTGAGAATCCTTTACTGGCAATGACTGCCTGAAGTCTGGAACCCATGGATATTACCAGAGACTGGATTTCCTCCTTTCTGATGCTTTGCCAGGCTCTAACTGCAGCTGTCTTCAGTTGTTCTTTGTGGGTCTTTCTGCCTTTTTAGATTTGCCTTCAGCAAGTGAAATGCATGCTCAATTGGGCTGAGATAAGGTGATTGACTCAGCCATTGTAGAATACTCCACTTCTTTTCCTTCAAAAGCTCTAGGGTTGCTTTTGCAGTGTGTCTTGGATCATTGTCCATCTGTACTGTCAAGTGCCATCCAATCAACTTTGCTGCATTTGACTGAATCGGGGCTGATAGTATATCTCTAAACACTGCAGAATTCATCTGGCTGCTTCATTCACATCATCATACACAAATGACCCAGTGCCACTGGAAGCCATGCATGCCCATGCCATCACACTGCCTCCACCATGTTTTACAGATGTTGTTGTGTACTTTGGATCATGAGCTGTTCCAAACCTTTTCCACACTTTTTTTTTTTTTTTTTTCTTCCCTTCATCCCTTCATTCTGGTACAGATTCATCTTAGTTTCATCCATCCAAAGAATGCTTTTCCAGAACTGGTCTGGCTTTTTTAGATGTTTATCGGCAAAGTCTAATCTGGCTTTTCTATTCTTCGGGCTTATGAATGGTTTGCACCTTGTGGTAAACCCTCTGTATTTGCTCTCGTGAAGTCTTCTCTTGATTGTAGACTTTGACAGTGATACGCCCACCTCCTGGGGAATGTCGTTCACTTGTCTGGATGTTGTGAATGGGGTTTTCTTTACCATAGAGAGGATCCTGCAATCATCCACCACTGTTGTCTTCCATGGACGTCCATGTCTTTTTATGTTGCTGAGCTCACCAGTGCGTTCTTTCCTCAGAATGTACCAAACTGTTTATTTGGCCTCTCCTAATATTTGCTGATATTTCTGATGGATTTGTTTAATTTTTGAAGCCTTACAATGGCCTGTTTCACTTGCATGGACAGCTCGCCTGAATGCATGATGTAGGTTTACAGCAATAGATTCCAAATGCAAATACCACACTTAGAATCAACTCCAGGCCTTTTACCTGCTTAATTGATGAAGAAATAACGGAGTAGCCCACAACTGGCCATGAAACGGCTTTTGATTCCATTGTCCAATTACTTTTGGTCCCTTGAAAAAGGGGGATGGTTCTTAAGAGCTGTAATTCCTAAACCCTTCCTCCAATTTGGATGTACATACCCGCATATTAAACCTGGGAGTGTGCACTTGCAGCCCATATCCATTATATAACTATAGCTTGAATATGTTTTGGTAAATAACTGAAAAAACTAAAATTGTGCCTGTGTCCAAATGGAAGTGTGTGTGTGTGTCTTTGATGTTTTTTTTAATTGTTCCTTTAGATTAAAAAAAAGAGATCTCAATGGGGGTAAAATATCATGCTTAATATCTACAGTCAGGTCCATAAATATTGGGACATCAACACAATTCTAACATTTGTGGCTCTATACAACACCACAATGGATTTGAAATGAAAGGAACATGATGTGCTTTAACTGCAGACTGTCAGCTTTAATTTGAGGGTATTTACATCCAAATCAGGTGAACGGTATAGGAATTACAACAGTTTGCATATGTGCCTCTCACTTGTTAAGGGACCAAAAATAATGGGACAATTGGATTCTCAGCTGTTCCATGGCCAGGTGTGTGTTATTCCCTCATTATCCCAATTACAATGAGCAGATAAAAGGTCCAGAGTTCATTTCAAGTGTGCTATTTGCATTTGGAATCTGTTGCTGTCAACTCTCAAGGTGAGATCCAAAGAGCTGTCACTATCAGTGAAGCAAGCCATCATTAGGCTGAAAAAACAAAACAAACCCATCAGAGAGATAGCAAAAACATTAGGCGTGGCCAAAACAACTGTTTGGAACATTCTTAAAAAGAAGGAACGCACCGGTGAGCTCAGCAACACCAAAAGACCCGGAAGACCACGGAAAACAACTGTGGTGGATGACTGAAGAATTCTTTCCCTGGTGAAGAAAACACCCTTCACAACAGTTGGCCAGATCAAGAACATTCTCCAGGAGGTAGGTGTATGTGTGTCAAAGTCAACAATCAAGAGAAGACTTCACCAGAGTGAATACAGAGGGTTCACCACAAGATGTAAACCATTGGTGAGCCTCAAAAACAGGAAGGCCAGATTAGAATTTGCCAAACGACATCTAAAAAAGCCTTCACAGTTCTGGAACAACATCCTATGGACAGATGAGACCAAGATCAACTTGTACCAGAGTGATGGGAAGAGAAGAGTATGGAGAAGGAAAGGAACTGCTCATGATCCGTCGCATACCACCTCATCAGTGAAGCATGGTGGTGGTAGTGTCATGGCGTGGGCATGTATGGCTGCCAATGGAACTGGTTCTCTTGTATTTATTGATGATGTGACTGCTGACAAAAGCAGCAGGATCAATTCTGAAGTGTTTCGGGCAATATTATCTGCTCCTATTCAGCCAAATGCTTCAGAACTCATTGGACGCCGCTTCACAATGCAGATGGACAATGACCCAAAGCATACTGCAAAAGCAACCAAAGAGTTTTTTAAGGGAAAGAAGTGGAATGTTATGCAATGGCATAACTGAAGGCAGTTGCAGTAGAGGCCTGGCAGAGCATCACCAGGGATGAAACCCAGCGTCTGATGATGTCTTTGCGTTCCAGACTTCAGGCTGTAATTGACTGCAAAGGATTTGCAACCAAGTATTAAAAAGTGAAAGTTTGATTTATGATTATTATTCTGTCCCATTATTTTTGGTCCCTTAACAAGTGGTAGGCACATATGCAAACTGTTGTAATTCCTACACCGTTCACCTGATTTAGATGTAATTACCCTCAAATTAAAGCTGACAGTCTGCATTTAAAGCACATCTTGTTCGTTTCATTTCAAATCCATTGTGGTGGTGTATAGAGCCAAAAATGTTAGAATTGTGTCAATGTCCCAATATTTATGGACCTGACTGTATACTGATATGAACTGGGTAATGTGTTTAGGAACGCAAGTGGGGTTGAGGACCTTCTATGGCCCTGTTCAGCTCTGCTAGAGAAACTGCTTGTCTCCTGGAATCTCCTCCATGCTCTTGAAACTGTGCTGAGAGACACAGCAAACCTTCTGGCAATGGCATGTATTTATGTGCCATCCTGGAGTAGTTGGACTGCCTGTGCAGCCTCTGTAGGGTCCAGGTATTGCCTCATGCTACCAGTAGTGACACTGACCCTAGCCAAATGCAAAGCTACTGAAAAAACCATCAGAAAAGATGAGTAGGGAAAAAATGTCAGTGGCCTCCACCTATAAAAACCATTCCTGTTTTGGGGATCGTCTCGTTGCCCATCTAGTGCACCTGTTATTAATTTCATTAACACCAAAGAAGCTGAAACTGATTAACAACCCCCTCTGCTATGTATTTTACCAGATCAATATCCCAGGAGTTTAATTGACTTGATGCTATAATCTAACTTAAAAAGTGTCCCTTTACATTTTTTTGAGAGGTGTGTGTGTGTGTGTGTGTGTGTGTGTGTGTGTGTGTGTGTGTGTGTGTGTGTGTGTGTGTGTGTGTGTGTGTGTGTGTGTGTGTGTGTGTGTGTGTGTGTGTGTGTGTGTGTGTGTGTGTGTGTGTGTGTGTGTGTGTGTGTGTGTGTGTGTGTGTGTGTGTGTGTGTGTGTGTGTGTGTGTACACACACACCTTGGTTAACGTAATTTTCGGTTTATGAATTAAAATCCATTGAAAATGCCTCGGTTTACAAATTTTTTTTTGCAATACGATGTGTATGTTGATGCTGATTTTTAAAAACAATAGCCGGCTTTTTTTTTTTTTTTTTTTTTTCTTCACTATAGCTCACAGAATTAGCTGTCACTTTCCCTGGACTTAAAGGAAACTTTTGTTTCTTTTTCTTTTAAGAAACTAAAAGGAAACATTTGTTTCTTTAAGCTGGGGGAAAGTGACAGCTGAATCTCTGAGCTATAGTGAAGAAAAATAAGCGGTAATTACATTTTAAAAACCAGCACCATAATAAATAAACAATGTCGCGGGGTCCCCCCTCCACTCATACCAAGCCCTTTGGATCTGGTATAGGTTTTGAAGGGAACCCCCATGCCAAAATTTAAAAAAATTGGCGTGGGGCTCCGCACCCCAAGATCCATACCAGACCCTTATTCAAGCATGCAGCCTGGCAGGTCAGGAAGGGGGGGGGGGGGGGGGGGGTCGAGCGAGCAGGACCCCCCAACTGAATCATACCAGGCCACATGCCCCCATGGGGGAGGGTGCAGCCCCCTACCTCCTGAACCATACCAGACCACATGCCCTTAACATGGGGGGAGGTGCTTTAGGGGAGGGGGGCTCCCCCCCCCCCCTCCTCCTCCAAAGCACCTTGTCCCCATGGCTGGTGGTTGTGGGGGTCTGTGGGCAGGGGGCTTATCGAAATCTGGCAGCCCCCTTTAACATCTGGTATGAATTTTGGGGGGGGGGGGGTCCCAACACAGTGTTTTTTTTTTTTTTTCGTTTTTTTTGTTTTGGCGTGGGAGTTCCCCTCCAAAATCCATACCAGACCTGAAGGGCTTGGTATGGACGGGAGTGGAACCCCACGCCATTTTTTAAATAATTTTTTTAATTGCTGTAATTCTTTTACATTCAGCTGTCAGTGGGGAACCCACATGGTTGTCGCTACTAAAATACTGCATGACATGATAAAATAACTCATGTGGTATTTTAGTAGCATTTACTTTTTCCTGACCTCTGGAACGGATTAATTGGTTTTCAGTGCATTCCTATTAGAAACAACGATTAGGTTTATGAATTTTTCGCTATACGAAAAGTCCCGCAGAACGAATCAAATTTGTAAACCGCGGTGTGTGTGTGTGTGTGTGTGTGTGTGTGTGTGTGTGTACATAATACATTCACATCAGTTTAGTTAGGAATAGGCTGGTCTTCCACCAAACAATCTTAAATCTGCTCCCACTTTCTTCTAAACCCTATTCAATCTACCCTGTGAAAGGAAGATGTGTATACTTACATGATTTGAGGGAAGTTCGGTCACATGACCAGTTGGCGGCGACTTCAGTGTGGAGCAGGGACAGCCGACAACGTATGCCTCATTGTAAGCCTGTGGGTGATGTCCGCACCCAGGTTCTGTGGCTGTTGTTGACTATCTCTGAAGATGGCTGCTGGAGAGATCACGTGACTGGACCAGGTTGCTCTCAGAATAGTTAAATGTGCACATCTTCCTTTCACAGGGCAGATAGAATAGGATTTAGAAGGAGAGTGGGAGCATGTTTAAGCTTGGTTAGGAATAGGCTGGACCTCCATTTTTAAAAAGTAAATGTTTTGTAGTGCAAGGTAGAAACAGAAACTCCGGTATTTATTATAATATTTTTATTTATTTTTTTTTAGCATATGTTTTTCCTGTGCAGTTCAGTCTCTTAGTTCATGATGCATTTTGGAACCAATTCCTGTATTTGTCATGTTTTTTGGGGGTTGGTAAGACTGATTCAGATAAATGCTACCTTGCCTTCCCCTTCATATACAAGGCTGTTCTGCTGCTTCAGCAGTTTTTAATGAGTCAATGACACTTGACCAGTAAGAATTACATTCATGCCTGGTGGATTAACCTTCTTTTACACTGCTAGTCATAGAAGAATAAAATATTTAACTGAATTACGACCAGTAAAAGAAGTTATGCTCTAATCCCTAAATAGCCTAATTAACATTCAGTTGATCTCCCCTTCTTAATGTGATTATGACTTTACTTGTGTCTGTGACTAAGAGGTTCATGTGCAGTTTTTTCATTTTTTTTATCTTTTTTTTCTATTCCTCTGCAGTCATTTCAGGGAAGTCAGGGGAGAGCCTACCTCTTTAACTCTGTGTAAGTAGTTCTGACCTTTCAGCAGCGATGTTTTAACTTTGTGTTTTATTGCTTACAAGGCGGGTTTACACTTTTTATAAAGGCAGCTGGAACCTCTGTTAAAAGTGTAAGTTCACCTTTTTCAGAAAAACTGAAAAGGTGAACTAACACCTTACACTCTCCCCCAGCACCACTCTACTTACCTCTTTGGGTGATGAGCTGTCAGTGCCCATTCAGCCAGCGCAGCAGTTTGAGGATTTGAAATCCCCTCTTTTCTCCCCCTTCTTTCTGTGGCACTTCTGGGATGGATCAAAGTGATGCTCTGTGCCAAAGCTGACTAAACCGAATCGCTCTGATATGTCCAAGAAGCCTGGCAGAAAGAGGGCGAATAGCAGGTATTTCAGTTCACCAGACCGCTGCACCAGCTGCATGGGCACTGACAGCTCATCACTCATGGAGGTTAGTAGAGTGGGGGACAGAGACAGGAGGAATGAGGAGTTTGTTCTTGTCTTTGTTTTTTGTAGGGGGTGTTTTTTTTTTTTTTTTTTTTTTTTTTTTTTTTTTTTTTTTTTTTTTTTTTTTTTTTTTTTTTTTTTTTTGGGTTTTCTTCTCTTAAAAGATGAAATCGCCCCTTTTTTTGTTTTGTTTATATAAAGTGTGCAGCACAGAACTATTCCCTTTTGCTCTACGTACAGGGGAGCGTATAATATAACATTGCCAATGTAATACAGTAATACCTCAGTTTACAAATGCCTCAGTTAACGTAATGTTCGGTTTACAAATGAAAATAATGCCTCAGTTTACAAATTTTTTTCGCAATACGAAGCGTATGTCGGTGCCAATATATATATATATATATATATATATATATATATATATATATATATATATATATATATATATATATATATATATATATATATATATATATTTTTTTTTTTTTTTTTTTTTTTTTCTTCACCATAGCTCACAGAATTAGCTGTCACTTTCCGCGGAGTTAATGGAAACTTTCTTTTAAGAAACTAAAAGGAAACAGTGTTTCTCTTAACTCGGGGAAATAAACTAAAAGAAAACCTTCTTTATTTTAGCTGGGGAAAAAGTGACAGCTGAATTTCTGAGCTATAGTGAAGAGGAAAAAAAAAAAAAGTGGTAATTACATTTAAAAACCGGCACCGTAATAAAGAAAACACCGGCGTGGGGTCCCCCCTCCCATCCCTTCAGGTCTGGTATGGATTTTGAGGGGAACTCCCATTCCAAAATTTAATAAAATGGTGTGGGGCCCTCCCCAAAATCCATACCAGACCCTTATCCGAGCATGAAGCCCAGCGGGTCCTGAACCTTATCACGCCCCATGCCCTCAACATGGGGGGGTGCTTTGGGGCAGGGTCCCCCCCTCCTCCCCCCTCCCAACCAAAGCACCTTATCCCCTTATGGGGCCAAGGGCCTCTTCCCCACAGCCCTGGCCGGTGGTTGTGGGGGTCTGCGGGCAGGGGGCTTATCAGAATCTGGAAGCCCCCTTTAACAATGGAGGCCCCCAGATCCCGCTTTCCCCCTATATGAATGAGTATGGGGTACATGGTCCCCCCTTCTCATTCACAAAAAACAAAGTGTAGTGTGAAAAAAAATACAGGACACGGTATTTGACAAGTCCTTTATTAAAAGAATGTCCCCCGTAGTAGATCCAACGTCAATCGCGATGCCTGCCGCTGACCCGTAAAAAGAATAAAATTTAAAAAAGGCTCCGCTCCCAACGATGGCTTCCACCTGTCTGCCTGCTCCGGTCTGCTTCTGAGGTGGCTTGGACAGTTCTTAAATATGTAAGGGCCGGGGCCACCTGGGGACATCACGCATGTGACCCCACCCCTTACATATTTAAGAACTGTCCAAGCCACCTCAGAAGCAGACCGACCCCCCCCCCCCCCCCCCCCCCACTTCCATGTTGAGGGGGTGGGGGGTGCGCTCCCTCCCTCCTTTCCTGACCTGCCAGGCTGCATGCTCAGATAAGGGTCTGGTATGGATTTTGAGGAGGGCCCCACACCATTTTATTTTGCCATGGGAGATCCCCTCAAAATCCATACCAGACCTGAAGGGCTTGGTATGGATGGGAGGGGGGACCCCACACCATTTTTTAAATTAAATTATTTTAATTGCCGGCAATTCTTTTATATTCAGCTGTCAGTGGGGAACCCTGCTGACAGCTGAAACATTACCACATGGTTGTCACTACTAAAATATTGCATGACTTGATAAAACAACTCATGCGGTATTTTAGTAGCATTTTACTTTTCTGACCTTCGGAACAAATTGATTTTCAATGCTATACAAAAAGTCCTGCAGATTGAATTAAATTCGTAAACCGAGGTATTACTGTATACTAAATCATAGACACCCAAGGCTCAAACTGATACCATCAGCACAAGGCCGAAGTCTATCAACACAGGTCCTTGCAAAGTCTCTGTTGGTGAAAACACTTCAGATGTTGTACCCATAAATATTAGATGGGAGGGTAGGAATGGACCGTTTTTATGATCAACCTTACTGTGTTTTGTCTGTTATCCTTTGCATTATTGAATAGGATTGTAGATATTCCGAGTTCATAATAGCTGGTAGAGCATGCACAGTCAAATGTTCTCTGTGCAAACTGCAACCAACTGATTTCACATAAGTATAATATTACAAAAATGAAGACATGTCTAGTATGTGAGTGAATCCTGAGTAATGTTTATGCTCAGGCTTGTGGAGAACATGTGGATCAAGTTTTTATGCTTTTAGAGAAAATTAACAATACAAAATGTACTTTCCGTACATGCTGTACACAGTTCTGCATAACAGGAATTTGGACATTTTTACCATCTGTCAAATCAGAAAACTTTTCTTCCAGCATGGAGTACGTATTACAATCCTGGATCACACCAAGCTCGAGCTATTTTAGTTTGGAGTGCAAAGCTCTTCTCACTCAGGTCACATCCTTATTTATAACCTTGTGAGTAGCTGTCCAGAGTGTGGGCTATAAATAGGTTCCCTTGGAAAGAATGCTGCAGCGAGGTTGTAGCTGTGCTGCGTCGGAGCACCTGGTGCAGATCACATCTGCTACGGTTGTATCTGTCTGTACATTCTAAAAACTGGAATTTCTAGAGAGCTTTATGTCCACTGGGTGTGTGTCCTTCCCTGGCCAAGTGGAAAGAATCTGAAACCCTTTTAGTATTCTTTCACTTTTACCAAGAGATTATGTTGGAATCTAGCTAAGTGGTATCGCTGTGCCCTCATTCCACGTGGATTACATGTATTAACCCTATTTAGGCCAGTTGTAGAGAAATGTTTTGGGCAAACAAGAAAAGAATAAAAATATCTGCAACAGAATTTAGGGTTTTGCTTTGCCTTAGATTTCTTTTTATGCTTTCCAATGTAATATTCCAGAAAGTTTTAGATATCAAGTGTTTATTAGAGACTGCTTCTGTCCTGCAGGGTAAATGTCGGTTGTGGTCCAGCAGAAGAGAGGGTCCTTTTAACTGGTTTGCATGCTGTTGCTGATATATACTGTGAGAACTGTAAAACCACGCTTGGCTGGAAATACGTGAGTTTTTTACACCTTTTTTCATATTTTGTAAAAATAATTTAATTTAAGATTCTCAACTTTTAAAGTTGAAGTTTTGGTCTAAACCTATCTAAGCTTAAATCTTCTCCCACTACCATTCTAAGCCGTATACTAACTAGCTTTTTAAAGGAACGATCTGAATATCTACTTAATCTAAGGGCGGTCTGGTCATGTGATCTCCCCAGCGCCTGGCTTCAGGGGAGAAGAAAGCAGTGACAACAGCTGCAGTGTCTGTGCTATGACATCACCTAAAGATTTACTATGGGGCATCTGTTGTCTGTTGTCCCTCCTTTCCCCTGAGGCTGGCGCTAGGAGTCAATTATGTGACCAGATTGGTGCGCCCTTAGTGTAGGTAAGTGTGCACAACTTTCTTTTACAGGGTATTTCGTATAGGGCTTAGAATGTCCATGGGGTAGGTTTAGGCTTGACTTCTACTTTATTGTACTTCTCACACAGAGTGCCAGTATTTGTACCAGTGTTAATGTCGTTCTTGTTTAATATTAGCAGGACCGTTGTTGTGCTGCTATTGATTTTTGGTTCAGTGAGTATTTAAATGAAAAAAAAAAAAAAAAACTAACGGCTGCACTTTGATGCTTACTAAGTGACTGCCCAGCTTTTTTTTTTTCTTTTTTGTACGTGCTAGGTGCAAAAAAATTCTACATGGAATCACATCAGAAATATGTGCAATGCCAACTTTCACCTGTCCATGGCTGCAGTAGTGATGCTCTACTGTAGTACTATCTTCCTGCTTTGAAATGTAGTGCATACTCCAAGTCTGACCATAGAGAATATTAACCACCGATGATAGCTGTTATTCTTTTATGGGGCCAGACCTGATGCATGTATCCTGTCTCAATGCAGGCTGAAAGCACCAGTAGGGGGATTGCTTTAGAGCCCATGTAAACTCTTCATAGGTTTTAATATATTTCCTTTTTAGGAAATTTCAGATGGTGATTTGAATCTTGGAAGTTGCTTTAATGGTGCTTTTACAGTCAGTTCATTTTGATTGTACTTGTTAAAATTGTGGTGCCATTCAACCAAATTTTTGAAGCATACAGGACATTTTAAAGCATATTTAATTTTATTTCAGTTTTTTTTTTTCCACTTTATTTGCACCTGCTGATCCTGACAGTAACACATGTCCTCTCCTAGGGTGACAATTGTTGTTCACTGTACTGTATCTATAGATACATAACGTAGTAGCTGGGGACAGTGTAATTGATAACCGGTAGCATAGGACAGTAAAAGAACAGGAAATCGTCAGCGGACAAGATATCTGGCAGAATCAAATTCTATAACAAACTGCTTTTAAAGGTATATTTAACAGACCAATGGGCAACGTATATGAAGTTCATTAGAGTTTCAATACCCTTTTATAGAGTAAGATGGTAGTTTTCCACTGACGAGTAAGCTTTAAAAAAAAAAAAAAAAAAAAAAGTAGTGGCTGCTCAGCCTATATAAACAAATGAGAGGCTGACATCAGCTGCCGCTGTTTGCGTGTAGCCATACACCAAGTGGTTACCTGCAGATGTCCAAGTCTGGACACATTTGACCATGGTAAACACAGAGAAAATTCAGTGTGTGTATACCAGCCTTAAGTTTACAAAACTATGTTGGTGCAATCCCATCATGTCCAAGGCCCAGTCTGTGTAGACCTCCATTTCTGTCCAAGTTAAAGTGGTTGGTTGTAAAGCCTTAATGTTTTTACCTTAATGCATTCTATGCATTAAGGCAAAAATTATTTTGTGTCTGAGATTTCCTCCATCCCCCTCTTATACTTACCTGAGCCCCATCGCGATCCAGCAATTGTGCATGAGAGCAGTGGTTCTCCTGGCTCTGTCCCTCCGCACAGGGCAGATCAATAGCAGCGGGAGCCATTGGCTCCCGCTGCTGTCAATCAAACTCTGAGGGGGAAGGGGCCTGTGCCCCACTGTCTGTCTATGGACGCAGGTAGCAGGGCTTGGGAACGAGCCCTCACAAATGCCACAAATGGGGCACTGGATGAACAGGAGGAGCCAGGAGTGCTGGCGGGGGAACCGAGAGGAGGAGAATCGTGGCTGCTCTGTGCAGAACACAGAGCAGATTAATATAACATGTTTGTTATTAAAAAAACAAAAAATGAAGTTTGAATGTCACCTTGAGATAAAGTGCTGCCTGTCCTAACACTAAGCAATGCTCCTGTTTTTTAGCTGTCAAACGCCACAACTTTAGTTGTCAGCACAATGACAGGGCATGGAGAGCGGACGAACACCATGCCCCGCTGTCTGTCTATGGATGCAGGCAGTGGGGTCCGGGAACAAGCCCACCTAAGTGTCCCCATAGAAAGTGGCTCTCTATGTAGCACTGGATTAAGAGGAGGAGCTAGATGCACTGGTGAGGGACCTGAGAAGAGGAGGATTAGGGCTGCTCTGTGCAAAACCATTGCACAGAGCAGATTAGCATAACGTTTATTAAAAACAAAAGAAAACAAACTTTAATGTCACTTTAAGAAAAAGCGCTGCTCTCCTGACACGAAGCAATGCTCCTGTTATTTATCTGTCAAACACCATTACTTTAGTAGGCAGCAGAACTTTATCAGCATAATGACAAGGGGTGGGGACTTGTTGAGGGGATGGACAGGGATCAAGGATTCATGCAGGACCTAGGTTCTATTCTAAGGGAATAAAACGGCCATCAATTTGAACACCAACACAGGTAGTTGTAGACAGAACATGATGCTGCATTTTAGCATAGTTTCTACATCAGCAATGGCATAGGTCAGGTCAAGGTCACTATAATTTAGGGATGTATATCCTGTGTTTTATTAAATGGCTGCTGAAATCTACCTTAGTTTATTGTTATGCTATGTTGCATACAAAAGAAATCCATGTAAAAAATGCATCTTATAGCAGACATCCACTCAACCTATCAAAAAATAAGTCAGCAGCTCCAAAAACTGTAAAAAACAGCCACCTACCTGTTCCTCGGTCCCGTGGTGTGTCCCCCGCAGCTCATTTCATCGGCCATCCTGTATCCCAGGAGGCCGGCATCTTCAGTGTGGGCACCTGGCTGTGATAGCTTGCCGCTTCAAAGCCGGGTACCCACTGCACATGTGCAAGTAGCGCTGCGCTTCGTGAATGGTCCTGTAGTCTTCTGGGACCTGTCACGTGTCCCAAAAGACTGCAGGGAGGGAGGACACTAGGCGATCGGACCGGAAGTTGGAGCAGGTACCTGTGAAATTCGGGTACCCGCTCGCCAAAGGTGCAAATCCTTAATGGGGAGCGGGCGAGCAGTCCTTAAAGCGGAGCTTCCCCTTTTGGGTATAGCTCCGTTTTAACTAGGAAATCTATTTAATGTCTGGCACTGAATAGTTGATACTTAAATAAATAAAATATGTTGATTAACATATAGGCGCTGACATGTTTTTTAAAGATGCAAACTCCAGGGCCATCATCGCTTACCCTGTGCTCTGTTAATTGAAAAACAAGCATGCTGTCAGTGAAGTATGGCAGGTAGGAAAAACCTGTTTCAGGTAATTGACTTGTCAAGCAATGAAGAAAAATTAAAGCGGACAACCCTGGAACTTGCACCTTTTAAAACAAGTCAGCAAAATCGGCTCCCTTATTCATATGCTGACATTTACTTGGAAGTTTTTCTGCTGTTTATTTGCTTACATTCCATCTTCTTGCTTCCTCTAGGAGCATGCCTTTGAAAGCAGTCAAAAATACAAGGAAGGAAAGTTTATCATTGAACTGGCTCACATGATAAAAGACAATGGCTGGGAGTGAGCTCTCTTGCACAGCTCCCCTTTCGAGTTGTGTCCGTGTGAATCATACATTACAGGCAATGTAAAACTGAACTGTGGATTTTCATACCGAGCAACCGAATATATCACTGAACTTTATATATTAAAAAGTAACCTCATGGACTGTTAGAGTAGTTGATGGACGTTGTGGCTGGACTTGAATTCCAACAGGTTCTAGAAGATTTCTGCTCCTGTTTTACCATCCTCTCTCCCTTTTCCCCCCATGTCGAATTTTCTCATGTGTGATCGGATGTTATGGTGATACTGCTGCCATACACTGGATGAGATGTCTACACTCACAAGTCCTTGACACCAGATTCACCTGTATTGGATTGCCATATGTTTTGTGCATGCCTATGTTCTGTTTTTCTCCAACACCTTGGTACACCAGGTTCAGAGCTGAAGAACCCAGTGTGCATCCAGGAAAGAAGAAAAAAAAATATTACAACCCACCAACTCAGCACAGTTGAAACATGGAACTTATTGCAGTGTGATGTGTTCCATATCCAAAAAAAGGAGGGGTTTACAGAACCGAAGGCATGGTAGACCAGATGTAATCGCAGTGGTGTTTTCAGAGCCTTCAATGCATGTTCAAAACTTTATCCTCTGCGCTGCTCTAAGGGGTGTTTTTTTCCAAAAAAGCAGAGAAGTGGGTAGATGGCCCACTTCCAATGATTTCCATTTTGGTTTACATCTTTTTAGATAATCCCAAGTTGCTAAGATTGTTCAGCCTTGTTGGTGGGGAAGGGAGTGTCCCAATTATATTTCCTCAACAAAATGATATATTATTTTCTTCTAATTGGAGATCCAAAAACCCAGCGTTTTTAAGAAATTATTTCGACTTCTCTTCTAGAGTGGCCTAACAACTTGGCCAAATGGCAAACTCTGCTTGGGAGCAAGGAAGTTTGCTTAATCAGTTGTGTAACCAGTGCCACATACATCTAAAGTGTGTTGTTATGGCTGGTCCCATAAACCATTGTAGGCTTCATGCACTGGACAAAGAGGGCATTTGAAATGTCATGAAACATGCTCCCACATCTTTTTGCACACTCATAATATAGGGAATCTTTCTGGGGAAAAGTTCCTTCCTGTTTGTATAGTACTATATCCCCTGTGTTGTGTTTTTTTTCTTTTTTTTTTTTTTTGTTTTTTTTTTTTTTTCTAAGAATGTTTAATTTAACTCTTTGGGGTGTGGGTGGTTTGCTGGTTAAATCATTTCCAAAGTTTGTTGGGTTTTATTGTATTTTTAAAAAAGTAATGAAAGTATACAATACATGTTACCTTAATGAATTGTTACATGTGCACATCTGCAGCTGCTGTGAAAGTAGGAAGGAAATTGTATAAACTGGGCATAGCCTTTCACCTTTCCCCCTCCATGCGGATCACTGCTTCTTGAACCATAATGCAATCCGCGTTCATTTCTTGTGCCCTAGTAACATATGGGTGTCCCTTGCACAGTTATTAGTGTTAGGCTTTTGTGATTGATGTGGTCTTTCAATCCTAGCCAAGGCTGGCCATAGTTGGACAGATGTTGTTAGCTTATATGAAAAATCTGCTCTTCTTTGTTGCCAATGCCAAATCCACAGTGATTTTGTTTTTTCCAGAGCATGCCTGGGGAACCATCATCTTTAAACTCCTGCAAAGATTTTCTACCATGCTAGATCTTTGACTCTAATATCAGCTAGTATTATCATATAGGTTTATTGACACTATTTTTCTCTGAACCCTACATGGCTGATTATTGGCAGTGGTGCTGAGTTTGGTCACCTCTCAAGCAAACGTCTGCTATAGATGGATTCGTTTTTTGGTTCTTTTTTTTTAAGGAATTGATGACCTTCCAGAGGAATGGGGTTGACGGCAAAGAAAACTAGTCTGACTTTTTGCAGGACCATTTTATTTTTCTATATTACACTACCACTACTGTAAGCACTTTGACTTTAATGATACAATGGGAAGCCTTGCAATAGAAAATATCCCATCCCCTTTTTACCTCCCTAGACATGTTCTATGTACTGCTATAAGCTTCTTCAGTGTAATAACTGACGCAATGCTGCTGCTTAACGCATTATTTAGTAGTAGGCTGGACTGCACTTTATGCTTATGGTAAACTTCAACAACTGCTTTAGTTAGCATTGTAATAGAGTTCACAGCTGCCATCTATGATGGATAGAGGAGAAACACCTCCATTCAGTGTCATTCATTTTTTTTCTTAAAGAAAAAAAAGATTGTGGTTATTTATGAATGACATGATTATACAGTTGGAGAGCTACCATTTCAGCAAACGTTCTCAACCAACTTTGCTGTAGTTCTATAGATTATTGAGATCCATTTCTAGGCCTTTCCGCTGCTAGTGAAGAGGTTAGTTATGTCTGACAATAGGTGCCTACATCTAACAAGCCCTTGTGTAGCCCTTAGCTCCTGAAAAGGGTTCATTTTAGAAATTGCATGACTGGAGCAACTAATATTTCACGAGTATCTATTCTATTAGTGAGATTGGCAGGCTTGACCCTAGTTTTTGCTATGCACTTTGCTATATGTCCAATGAACTGTGCTTTGACTTTTGCATACATTCATATGATCTTTGGCCTCTAAATTTATATTGGAATAAAGTTAAAGAAAAAGACAAAGGTATCCAGCCACCATCAGAAGCCTGCTCTTTCCTTATGAAAAAAGCACCCGCTTAAAAAATAACATGTAAGTAAAGGCTCCCGGATGTGGCTAAGGTGAAATATAGGACAGTCTGGTTACTGATCCTGATTTTTGTGTTTGTTTTTCAGCAGTTTGCATAAAACTTGAAATATATATATTAAAAAAAGACAAAAAAGCATTTTCCATCTAACCAATTTTGTACATAATATGGGTAATATTTAAAAGTTTTGTGTTTATGGTAAGGTTGCTGTTTCCCTTTTTTTTTTTTTTTTTTTTTTTTTTTCTCTCCATACTTTTTTTATGATTGTTGTAGCTACTTAACACATTTCTGTTTGTGGCTGTGTGTATATTGTTTTTATAAGCCGTTCGGGAAAAAAAAAGCTTTTTTTTTTTTTTTTTCGTTCCTACGTTTTCAGTTTCAGGTGTTCCAGTGCTTAAACTGTCCCTATACTCTGGCAGATAGAAGACAGCTCTACAAGAATGGCCTTAATGGAACTACATTATTGGTGGGTCTCCTAGATGGTCAGGGTGCTCCGTTGTCAATATTATTATGTCCCCATGACAGTGAGGGTTCTGACATTGTACATTTGCTCAGTACTTGGTCTGACTAAAATAAAACATTTTTTTGCAGATTTTTTTTTTTTTTTGTGGATCTTCATATACAACAAAACTTAAGCGATTATGTGGACTTACAATATAATTATTTACAGTGACAAAATGAAGTGGACTTTACTTGTTTCAAGCTTAAACTCCTATTCTGTTTTTTGCATTGCCATTGTTCTTTGTTCCCTGTAACTGCACATAGCAGGGGACATGCTTTTTGCATTAGACAAACTGTTCTTGTAAACCTATTTTCCTGTATATGGTTCTGTTCTACTCAGTATTGAACCTTCTGAGACTAGGATAACTATGCTCATTATCATGTGTAACTAAGAGGATAAACATAGCCTTGTAAATTCCATGTGTGAAGATGGCCAACATTTACCACATCCAAGCAGAAGAAGCCTGTCCAACCTTTAAACCATTTAGTTGTCTAATAATGGGTAGAAAGTGATTGGTTGCATCTCCCTCTTAAACTTTTGAGTAATATAATGTGTGGAAACTTGCAAGTATTCTCTGCTGGAGAGGTAGACCTGGCATTTCCTGCACACGTGGGTCAGTCTTTCCAAAAATGGGCTAAAGAACTAGCTGGTTTCTTATATCTCTTTGGAAATCCAGAAGTAGGATCACGGAGCTTTGTGTTTCTTCCACCTTGGGTTCTTTTACCTAATACAAAGGCAGGCCAAAGTACAATGATCTTAGTGTTGTTGTCCTTTTAGAGGTATAAGAAATGGTTTGGTAGTTTTTGTGGGTTTTTTTTTTTTTTTTTTTTTTCCGTTCAGCATCTACCAAAAGTTGAAAAATCACTTTGTCGGATTGACCTTTTTTAAGCAGAATGCCCCTCAAAGATTTTATAGTGTTCGTGGAGGGTGATTTGGGTACTTGTGTAGAGTTCTGCTTGGCTTTAGATCTCTATTGTATTGATCTGCAACTGTAAAGTTCACATAGCATCTCTGATCATGCTGGTGTGCCATTTATAGTGTGGTGGGAACATTTTTCCATTGAATTTGGGACTGACACAGCAGCTGAAGCATCAAATGGGGGACATCTTGGAAGCTTCTCAGCTGTGGTCAGCAGGTAACTAAGAACTACACAAAACACCCTCTATCTGGAACACTGTTATGTGCATTCTCATTTGTTGTTTCATAGTTCAATAATGTCACTGGCAAGTGGTGAAATAAGCCACATTTTTGTTGTTCTGCAGAATGGTTATGTCATTTTTCAGCTATGCTTGTCACAAACAGGAGAAGTCATAACTGAAATGATTGTTTCCAAGTTAGAGTGAAAAGTCAATCGGCAGACAATTATGCTACCAGTGGTGTAGAAAGGCAGTTCTTTCCTTTTGTGCATATTTATAGTCAACTTTAACCCCTTCAGTGTTTAGTCTGCTGAGCAGGACTGTTGAAAGTTCACCCCCTGAGATTATATATAAAGCTAGTTTTTCAGATAGAAGCACTGTTCTGAATGGGACTTGCTACCACATAATGTGATGCCTAGTGCTGACACCTCACATTTTTTTACTTTTTTTTTTTTTTTTTTTTTACACCATTTACACTCAATATTTTTTTTTCTGTTTTGAAATGTCATAGCTTTGCTGTTCTGTCTTAGCTATATTGTACAACACTTGTGCGATTGTTTCACGTTGTTGTATTCAATTTGAGGTATCACAATAAAAGGCTTTAATCAGCACAGTAGTCTTTTCTCTATTTAAATTCTATTAAGTGTCGACATCTG